ATGATTCTCTATTTAATGAATAAAAAGCTCATGTGACTTTCAAAATACAATTTTGCCACTTAAAAAAACTCTCTCCCTCAACTTAACTTATGGCTGTGATTAGCTCCATTATGATTTATATTTTTTATTTGCATCTCATTGTAGACATAGGGTAAAAATAATCTATTACGCATAATTTTGATTCTCTGCAATAAAGTTCTTATTGGGTCAAATTATAAAATTTCTTTAAAAACCACATATTAACAATCTCAAGGAACCACAAATTAATAATCTTAAGGATGATTATGCATTCATAGTAAGAGAATTATAATTATAATATATAATGGTGAGCTAGGATCGGCTTAGTAGGATGATTTAAAGGAGATGTCAAAGCTAAATAATCATATAATGATTCAGAGTATATTATTCATTGAGAATCCTTAATTATAAAGAGATCATTGAGTGTTTTATGTTTGTTAAGAGAATGTAGAGTAACAAATACACAATATATTTCATGTTAGGTGCTACATTAACAATAAAAATAAAGCATGTTATATGATGATTAATAATGGTAATTGTACTAATATTATTAACTCAACTTTGATTACAAAACAGATCTTGAATACATCTAAACATGATAAACTATATAAGTTTCAATAATAATTGAATATCAAGAAGTTCGGGGCTATTAAGCATGTTTTAATTTCATTTACAATAAAAAAAATTTAAGTATAAGATTACATGTATTGTAGCTTTCATGCATGTTATATATCTATTATTAGAGAGACCTTGATAGTTTGATAAAAAAACTAACCATAACGAGTTAAAAAATGAATATGTTACGAAGAAGGATATAGAGATTCACACACTTGTTTTATTGTCATGAAAGTAAACGTACGATGATCAATCAAAGCTTAAAATAGTTAGGGAAGCTGAATAAGAATTTTATGAAAAATAATTGTGAGGATGTGAGGCAAATAAAAATGACATAAATTATGAGTGTGCAATAATTAAAAAAAAAGTTTCTGCCATTAGAAATAAGATCGAGGAATTTAGAGAAAAAAACATAAGGGAGGTAGAAAGTTGAAAGAAAATGAGTGGATATAAAAAGATAAAAGTGTGTAGAAAAATTAGAAAATAACTTGATTTTTATGGGAAACAAAATGATTTTACTCATTTAATCCTGTATAGTAAGGTATATTTTAATTTTGATGAATTGAATTTTTGTGTTCCCAGTGTCACTACAATTCTTTTACAGGAACTGGGGGTATTTATTTTAAAGAGGGTTACCATCGATTCAAGGGATTAAGCATTGAATCCCTCAACATTTTATGTACATGGAAAAATATAAATCAAAAGAAATCTCAACATATAAAACCATGTTAATTTAACTGGAGAAGATGAAATTACAATTGAAAACGTTAGGGGACTGAAATGAAAAGGAATGGAATTATAATTAAGAAAGTTAAAGCGCTGGAAAAAAAAAGGTTACTGTTTGAAGTTTGTAGCCCCACCCCACCCAGTTATTAGTGTTTGAGTAACAGTAATAAGATAAGGCATGTCAAAACTCAACAAGGGCATTGATGCAATAATCTAAAAGATCACGGGTAAAGGAAATTCTCTTCTCAGATCCAGAAGGAGACAAAACAATCCATCCTGCAATCCAGGACAGAGGACGTGGCTTGTCCTAACATAACACCTGTCCTTTACTTTCACCGGTTTCGCTGGTAAACAAGGTTAACCAACTGTCACCCGCCAGTCACCATCCTCTCCGAGTCGATGCCTCTTCCCGCTCTCTACATAAACCCAGCTTAGCAGAAATGAAAAACCCACGGAAAGAAGAAAAAAGAAACGCTCGTTTAGCCATGAAGGTTCTGTACAACACAATCCGGAGACTCTGTTAGACCCATTGTCAAAAGGGTTTCAAAATCAAAGTTCAGGTTTAGCGTATAATCTCTCATTTTCTCTTAAAAAGGTGCCACCTTTGAAAGCTTCGTGCTTTTCGTCTTCTTTCTGTTTTTCAGCACTTTCTTTGAGAAATGACTGTTTGGTTTCTTAGAAAATGTGGGAAAAGAAGCTAAAGTTTTGAACTTTATGATGTTTCGTTTTTTAAAAATGGGGACTTTTGTTAAGGCTACTAATGTAACCATTTTATTTAGGAGTTTCTTATGTTTTGTTATGTAGTTTTTTGTATGTAAAAAAAAAACCTGGTAATAACGAGGATTTGCTTCGTTAATGAGAGGGGGGGGGGGAAGCAAGTTTCCTGAGACGTGCCTGTTACTTAAAGCATAATTTATTTCTTGCTCTATTAAATTCTGAAGCCAGTTGAGGATTCAAGGTTAACTTTGATGCTCTGTGTAGTTTCTTTGTATTCATATATTTTTTAGTATGATTATGTATTAACAGCGTTCTTGGTGTCTTTCATGAATGTGTATGATAATGAGACGGTCTGTTCTTGAATTGGCTGTTTAAAGTTACCGAGTTGGTTGTGTGCGTGCGTGAAGACTTGAACATTATAAAACCATCTTTATGTTCTTTTCTCGGAAAATATTTCCAGCAGGGAACCTTTACCTTTCTTTCCAAGGAAAATATTGATCATTATGGTGCTAAAGAACTATTTTACGGAGTCTAAACCTGGTTGCATGCTAGACTTTCTACACGTTGAGGCATTGCTATTTCTAAAACAAGTGGAGCTAAGGGACATGGGGAACTTAAAATAGATACAATGCCTACATAAAATGGTTTAATATCCCTTGATTGAAATTCATCCAGGTCTGAGCAGTTTGACTCTATGCGTGTATTAGTGCTGGTGTATATGCTCTTTGCTAGGTGTGTGAGCATGAATTATTGTATGTTTGTTGCAACTGAATTTTCTTTTGATATTTGTCTTTTGAATGTGAGAATGTAATCAAGATTTCTATTTTATTCTAAAAGCTTCAAGGGAATAGCAATGGCTTTACAAGCTTGCTTGGACAACTACCTGTTGGCACTGAGCTCCTTGGACTCGAGTCAGGTGACCACAGACTTGGTAAAGTCCTCAAATTCTGAGAACATACTACAAAGAGGTCAAATCCACGCTGCAATAGGTTGTTGCTCAAATGCATCATCTGGAAAATTTCCAGGATCTTTAATCAAGATTCCAAATTTGAATGCGGCTGAAATATCCGAGGATAGGGAAAAAACTATTTTAAATAGTATTACTAACTTAGAATCGAGTCTTGCAGCAAGTTTTTTAGCTACTGGGTCCAATTCAGCTGTTCCAAAAGGTCCCCAGTTACAAGGAAGCGCTTCTACTGACACGGATCATTTTGATTTATCCACATTCCCCGTCTTGATGTCACCTAATTTAAGCAATTTTGGATCTTCCACTGCCTGCTACTCGATAGCAGAGGAAGATGTCCATCTAGGCCAAAATAGGTTACAAGTTCAGAAAAGGAGACGTCAACAAGGAGATATACGTACCACATTTCAGTCTGAATTGCAAAAGAGTCTAGATTCACTTCTTGATGTCAAAAGAGAGGGGCTTTCCTCTTCACCTCAGCTACATAAGAAAATCAGATTAGACAATCAGAAAAATTCTATTCTACAAGAGAATATTATTCAGCAGCCACTGCCAAGTCAGGATTCAGTGCAGCTGCAAGCTGCACGCCCAACTCTACATGCATTAGTCATACAGAATAAGTTAGGGAATCAAAAGCAGCAGGATACTTTGCAGTCAACTCTTCAATTGCTGGGAGTTAATATGAAGCAGAAGCAGCAGCAGCAGCAGCGACAAATGAGGGACTACCTGCAAAGTCTGGCCTTGCCACGAGTCCAATCTATGCTTTCATTCAATGCTAATGCATGTTCACGCAGGCTAATGCAATACATGTATCATCAGCGGCAACGACCTCCTGTGAGTGACTGTGATCAAGAATGCAATCATTTCTAATGTTCTTTAATAAGTACTCCTCTCCTATTTTGTTAGTAGTTTTAGATGTTAATGTTTACCTGTTCCCGGTCTTTTGTTGATACTTTATTTCTATCTTAATGTCCGACCGCTAGTTCTCCAAGACTTCAACAAAGTGATACACCTTGAAGCTGTTCTAACTCTCTCTCTCTCTCTCTCTCTCTCTCTCTGTAGGACAGTGGTATTTCTTATTGGAGAAAATTTGTTGCAGAGTATTATGCTCCTTGTGCTAAGAAACGGTGGTGTTTGTCTTCATGTGATAGTTCCAGACTTCATGCCATAGGTGTATTCTCCCAGGTAGATATGGCTAGTTTTAGGTTGTCAATATATCCTTTTTTCCACCGTTGAAACACTGATATTTGTTTCCCATACCTTGTATTATGAATCATAAATAGATGCATTCAGGCAGATGCACACATTCATCTAGTTCTCCATGCATAAATATTTCCTCACTTATTCTATTTGTTCCCTGTTTCCCTTTATTTTGCAGGGTACATGGCATTGTGACTTGTGCAGGACCAAATCTGGCAGGGGATTTGGTAAGCAAATCAGCACTACATGTTGTTTATAAGTCAGTTACTATGGTGCTTTCTAAAAGAACAATTTGTTATTGACATGTTGATAAAATTCTGTAAAATATAATGTTTACCTCCATCTGCCTGGCTGTCCAAATTCATTACCGTTGACCCTAATGTCTAACTTAAAAGCTTGAGGTGTTAGGTGAAAGCTAATTTTTTTTAATACTTTATAACATTTTTCCATGGAACACTTATCTTTTTCCTTTTTTAATTTCTTGGCAGAGGCAACTTTTGAAGTACTTCCCAGGCTTAATAATATTCAGTTTGATAGCGGTGTTATCAATGAACTTTCGTTTCTTGAATGCCCTCTTGAGTTCACACTCCCTTCTGGATTAATGGTGTTGGAGTATGGAAAGGTTGTTCATGAGACTCTCTATGACCATCTTCATGTTGTTCGTGAGGGTAAACTTCGTATCATCTTCGCACATAATTTAAAGGTGAGCTATAGCCCATAGCATGAAGCTGGTGGATTCTATTACACATTGATCTTATATTCACAGAATGCTTTTCAGATAATTTGCTGGGAATTTTGTTCTTGGGACCATGAAGAACTAATTCCTCGAAGTTCAATTCTACCTAAGGTACAAACGATCTGCAGTATCTGAACCATCATGTTGGATCCATTGTGGTCCTTGTATGTTGTTTATAAATCCATTAATTTATTTTTGAACATTGTTGATGCATCCTTTTGAGATTTAAATTTGACAGAACAGATGCTCCTGTATGCAGGTTAATGAGTTAGTTCATGCTTCAAAAAACTATCAAACCAACATTGATGATATTGGATCATATAGGACACCACTCTGTGATTTACAAGAAAATTGCACGATGTAAGAAACCCCTGGAGGTTTTATTTACTGCTCTTACTAATTCTATGAATTGTTCATGCATGATACATGTCACCGTTCACCATTTTTCCCATTCTTAACAATGAATAGATATCTTACTTGTATGACTTAGATGTCTCCTATTTCTCAAAAATGTTATCGGATTAATGGGATTTTGTATGATACTCGTGAGATTGATATTTAAAAATTTCTTCTTACAACATGTTGGGATTGACCCAATAAGCAGGACCACCACCCCATAGCATGTCATGTAATGTCAAGCAGCAAACAAATTGCTTTCCGAAACTGATTTGTATTTTGTTCTCTTGATAATTAGTTACTGAGGCCCTAATTTTATATCTTCTTGTCATATTTGAAAAACATGTTTTTGGTGACAATATTGTAACTCGTAAATAAATCCGGTCCATCTTGTAGGTTATTATCAGCTGGGCGTGAGCTTGAAAGAGATTTGGGCTTGCAACTGGTTGGTGATTTGGGGTTTTCGAAGAGATATGTCCGTTGCTTGCAGGTCTGTAAGAGAACTTGTTTTGATTTGTCTATTTTCACCTGAATTCTACTCAGGATCTTCTGTATTCTGTGTTCATTACCTGACAGATTGCAGACATATTCAACTCCATGAAAGACTTAATGACTTTCAGCTGGGATAATCAAATTGGACCAATTGGTAAGTGATATCTACTGTTTTATGTCTTTGCCTGTCATCTTAAAAGGTTAAAACTGAAAACCCTTGGAAATAGCTGCTTGAGCCATACAAATCTCTGTTTTTCTTCTAATGTTGCCTTGTAAACTTTAATGTACTTGTTAAGGCAGTTTCCAATTGATCCTTGCGAAGTCATTTCTGATGTAAAACCTAAAATGCAGAGAGCTTGAAGAAATATACCCAGCAATTTTCAACAACCGAACTCCACAAAGATGAATTGCTAGAAAAAGAGCAGATCGAGGTCCTTCAAGGTTTGCCAACTAATCCAAATAAGTTGTCTGCTTCTCATGCTCTTGGTGGCAACAGCAATGATAACTCGAACATGAGTAAGGGTGCTCTATTGAATATCTCTGATGTGTCATGCCACTATATATATCCATCACAAACTCGCATCAACTCGAAAATGGGTGAACTGGAGCAGACGTCACTTTTATACAAAAGGTGTGGAAGAAATGCATCTTCCACACCATCTCAAGGTCCCAAGACTTCGAGTGCAGAATTCATCCAGGAGTTTGAGTTTCCTGGTCTCCATTCCTCTGGGGGTGGCCAGCATAGACGGGAACATAAAGTCCAAAATTTGCTCGAGGAGATCATCATGAGGGCTGAGAATGAAGCAGTTAACGCTAAGATAGGTAATATTATATCTGGCTTGCAAACAGGTGCCAAGGGCAAGATGCTGCTACGGATGGGATGACTTATGGTCACAACATGTCGCTGCTCGATCCTTCAGGAAATGCGTCAAGTATTATTATGGCAAATACCTGTGTTCATGACTCCTAATACGGATTCTTCCAAGGTTGGTGACAGTGCTGGTTTCATCAACTTTTCCACGAAGGCACTAGTTTCCTAAGATCCTGAAAGTGCTTCAAATGGAAATAAGATTTTTTTATGTTGTGGCAGCATGGGCTATGTGGTTGGGATGGTTGTAAGTGTTTTTTTTTTTTTTGGTACTTCCTGTTCCATCCTTCTCGGGGGTGATTCAATATAAAATACGTACGTATAGTAGTTTCTTTCGCAAGTGCTTTTGATAGTAGTTGCAGTTTCGTGAGCAATTAACTTGATTAGGAAGATTAGATGCTGTGATGTCAACATGAACTGTTAGCTACCCCGAAGTCTAAACCTTGCCCTGGAAATGAAATATGGTACCATACTGTTTTAATCACATCCCTGTCTGTTTGCCATGTTAAGTTTTGTTCAGGTTTGTCAAGATAAGCATGGCACCATGCATGAATTACATGCCGCAGAAAGCCAACGCTGAATTGCAACTGGCCTCAATGTTTGTTTACGACCCTGGATTTGTTGCATACCTAGGCTCTCTTCTCTTTACCTATTTCTAAATATGTATTACTATTTCGTAGCTGATAACCAACGTTCGGATCACAGAACTTGTTAAGATGTGAAATTGCTGTGCCTGGTCTTTCTGTACATGTGGTTAACGGCGCCATCACCGTGGACTCGATGCAAGGGAACAACGAAATTTTGGGTTTGAACTTCGTAGAGTGATTTGGTTCTGTTATAGGGCTGACTAGACAGAGACATGGGATTGCGGTGCGATTTTCTCTCTCATAAAAAACGATAAAGATGTTTATGTGGTTCAAACGCATTTCAAGAAAATAAGAAAAAACAAACAATTATTTCTTCCCCGACGAAAAAATTCAAATTACTCCTTTCCTACCTAATCGAGGGTTATAGTTTCTTCTGGGTTTAATGTTATAGTTTTTATTGGGTTTAATAAGTTAATTTTATTTTAATTAGATGATAAAATAAAAACTTAGCAATAATGGAAAACAAACATTTAAAAAAAAATTAATACCACAATGACTTGGAAAAAAATAACTTAAAAATTAATTAAAAAAAAAGAGAGAGGAGAGGTTTAAGTGAATTTGAGATAGTATGATAAACATATAATATGAATAATAAAGGATAAAATAATCTATGTTAACCTTTAAAAGCAGTGGATTATGTTATAAGATTGGAATAATTTAATAAAAAAAATTTAAAGTCATTTTAAAAAAAAAACTAATGTTGATCAATGAGATTGAAAAAGATAAGTTATAGAAAAAGACGTTGAATTACATTATCTTTTTAAAACCGTGATCTTAATCATTAAAGAAACCTGATTTTTTTTTATTAAAAGGTTATATTGAAAAGAAAAATAAATCTAAAAATAAATAAAAAAAATAAGAATCAAATTAAAAAAAATAATAAAGCATAAACTTAGATTGAAGAATAAAATTGATAACATTAAAACTTTTACAAAAAAGTCAAGAAAAAGAATAGAAATTAAAAATGATCAAATTAAAAAATCTTATACACAAAAACCACACCACAACCCACACATGTCATATCGAGAGAGAAAAAATGCGGCGACACATCCAATAACACGATGTAATGACATTTTATATCACTAGAAAGTGTCACATACGTTGTCCATGTGACGCAGGTACTTTCCACACAATTATATATGTATTATATGTACAAATAATTTTTAAAAATTAAATAATATTTAAAGAAAAAATCATTGATTATCTTGATAATTAAAAAAAAACTAAAGAAAAAGACTAAAAGGCTCACGAACTAAGATTTATATTATTTTTTTTATTTCAAGGATATACATGTAATTGTACATAAATGAATGAATGAAAAGACAATCAGGTGTTATAAATTTTTATTTTGGGAACAATTAAATTATTTTATTATGCTTAAAAAAATAGAAAATACAATTATATTTCTTGAAAATCCTTTCATAACTAATACATGGTAAAAATACCTCAAGAATAATGACAAATGTTTTTTAAAAAATCACAAAACCATTATTTTACCAACGCGGTGAATACTAAACCAAGTCGCACGATATTTTCGCGAGTTTTTTTGTTTTATATATTATTATTTTTAGAGGCTTATGCAGTGGAATCTCCCTCGTATTTGATGTTTCGATCTACTCTTTCTTGTCTTGACACGTTATTCGCCACACATTTTTTAATTGTCACTCTTATTACAGCTCATATAGTATGAGTGAGGGAACATTTTTTGCCATCAACATTGATGAATTTGCCAGAAAGACTTGGCAAATTGTTCTTTCTAACTGGTGCAGTGTTTCTATCTATGATGGATCCCTAAATGAAATCCAGCCGTGAATTATACGAGACAAAGAAGTACTGATAAGTGCAATCTGTGTGCAAAAATATCTCGTAAAAGCCAAGGAAACTTGCGAGTAACATCACCGTCTTGTCCCCCTCGCCAACTGGCATTGTTGTCTGGCAACACAAAACCTAAAACCGGCGAAGGCTGCAGGTGCTCTGCGATAATCATTTCCTTTCTCCCTTGGTTTCTCTTAATGGTTTCAAATTTAAGCATAGAAGCAAACGTTCTTGTAATATTCGCCCACAGAAAGCCAAAATGGATGGTCCATGACGCTATTTTTACAACCACAAAAAGAGCAGTGAGCATTTCCTCGAGGAAAGAAACGAAGAAGAAATACAAACTTCATCAACTAGCTAAACCAATGACAATATATACATTGGCTTGGGAACAATCGATACAAGGGCTGAAGAACCAACCAACTAATAATACTAGATTCCGCTTCATCTTAAAGATGTGTCCTAGCTCACCACGAGGGCAGAACATCCTCTCTACTCTAAAAGGTTAAATGAAGTTTAAAAATGCTTCAACCCTTGTCTCAATTTACATGGATATACTAAAACAGAGTCCAAACACAGACCACCTTTGGTGTGTGTACAGTCTATCTGTGTCATAGAGAACTTGAGCTTCGTTGATGCATTGGCGCCATCAACCACAAAATCCCCAGCATGGTAGAGGTTCCATTTCCCAGGATCGTTCAAAAAACACTGGGAAGAGGCATGCTGACCATCTGAAGTCCATATCTGAAACTGCACAGGTTTTATTTCCCAACCATGGACATGCTCAGTGTTACAGATGCGTCGGCCAAACCTCTTAGCAGCCCTCCCTAATTGTAATCTGAAGAATAGGCTATAGGTCCCAGCTGGGAATGGGAACTCAAATTGCCCATCAACCTCAAACCACCAGATTTGCTGAAGATATGCAACTGAGTTGAACCTACAGGAAAAACAAAGGAACTTTGGATCAATTCCAGTGCTATTTTGACTACATCTATATGGGAAATAATCACCAATTTTATCACAAACATAGAAACAACCAATCGAATGAACATCAACCCACTTATAAAAAGCATAATATGGATGCAAAGTGTCAACAGAAACAAAGATATTAGCATCCTTTAATCCAACCAGAATTACCAAGTGAAGAAGCAGTGGCTACGAGAAGGATAAAAACATTATTGGATCTTGGAATTATCATCCACACACACAAACAAACTGCAAAATCATGCATAGTTAAGAAAGGAGCGATACACCTATCCAATCTGCTAAATCAGATGCAAGTCTCAGCCATGTATGCCACTTAATTGTTTCAAGAAGGAATGCAGAAAAATTAACTTAGGTCCAGGGTCCTTCCTCGTTGACCATATTCTATGGAGGAGAAAAAAGATGAGGATTCTTAGGGTTTGGGGCAGCTAGGCAACCAGAGCAGGTTCGTTAGTGACAAGTTGTTCAATAACTTGGGGCTTAAGGGATATAATTCTGTAAATTACATTATCAAATTATGCTCCCCAGTCACATTATTGGTTTCCCGCTCAGGGTCAAAAGAATCTACTTCTACATTAAAAAAAAATTCCTGATGCCAGGAAATGGAAGTTATAAAAACTCTTGACATAATCCAAAACCCACTTACCCCTTGAAGATCCAATCAAATTACCTCCAAGCTCATAAGGTACACAACTACAAATAGTTGCTGGATTCCAAATTCTCACACATCATGGACTAGAAATCTTTGAACAATGAAAGATACTTAAAAAACCTCTTTGAAGAAGTTCGACAAGAAAATGCCTCGATCAACTTGGACTTGACCAGCCAGTCTAACAAATAAATAATGAAAAACTGACCATTGCAATTCTAATCAAAATTCCAGCAAAAGTTTCGGTAATCACACCTAGATTCCTCTGTTAGAATATGATTCCAATATCTTCGATCATCGATTCCTGTTATCGCTAACCCCTTGGAAGCAATGGATATGCAGACACCTCTTGTTCTCTTATCTAGCCATGCTTTCTGCACAAATGAAAATTTTTAATACACCAAGTTAAAAGGCCAGAAGAATAAAACCTGACAGAATTGAACACTCAAAATCAATAACCGTCCTGTCGTCTCACAATCACGATACATTTCTATGTAATTGAAAATTTCAAAATCAAACCAGCAAAAGATCCCTCCCGGTAGTAAATAAAGTCATCAATCCTATCTTTTCCCTCCGTTAAATTTTCTCATCCACCAATACAAACATAATAAGGAAAAGAAAATCTGTATCAGGGTTCCACAATTAAGAAAGCATGCAAATTCCATTACTAGTTGCTTCAAGAACCAGAGAGGAGCCACCACTCAAAAGGAAACCTTTTTGTCAAAGTTTCCATTTTTAATGTACTGAATAACAAAATACCAAAAACCAGAGGTTATTTCCTCTCATAATCCAAACAAATAAAAGCTAAAAGATCGTACCTTGGTGCCATCATCAAAAGCGTTGGCTCTACAAAGCCTAGTATAAATCTCTCTCTTACACAACTTATCTTTCAAATCATCACCCAAAACTCTTCCAATCAAATCTTCATAATTCACAGGCAATTTTGACTCCCAAACAAAATCAGCCCATGAAGCACCACGAAATGCTCTGTTTAATCTAGCCAATTTACAAATCTCTTGCGGGTTTAAATATTCAAGAATTAAAGCCACACAACCCTCTGGTAAATCTCCAAGACCAGGCTTTGTTGCTGGTGGCGATGATATTTGTAAGCATAGAGACCCAAGAAGAGAACAGGTGTTGGGGTCTGTAAAGGTTAACGAAAGATTAGCACCCATCAAGAAAAAATACAGAGCATAGCAAAGACAGAGGAATCCCAAAAACGGAGAGAAGGGCTAGAAAGTTGTGTGGAATTAAGAGATCAGATGAAAGGAAACAAAGGAGAGTTGTCAGAGGAACATAAAGGAAGCCTTGAAGAAAAGACGCGTATCGCGGGTAATATGTATGTATGCACACACATAGATGGAGATTTATTTGTTTGTTTGTTTGTTTTGATGACAGAAACAGCCAGAGGAAAGACGGGAAAACACAAAGCAAAATACAGTTGTCTGTTTTTGACGGGTGGGATTGTAGATTTGTTTTATTTTTATTTTTTTACTTTTAAGATGTTACCATTAATTT